TGTGGTGGCACACGCCTGTAATCCCAGCACTCGGGAGGCTGAGGCAGGAGGGTCGTTGCGAGTTCGAGACCAGCCTGGGCTACAAAGTGAGCTCACGGCCAGCCTGAACTGCACAGCAAGACTCTGTCTCAAAAAGACCAAAAAAAAAAAAAAAAAAGAGGACAACGGTCCTGAAAACTGACACATCTTGCCTTCTACAGCATCAGACCCTTAAAATTTTTGAGATATGTCCTCACATTAGGAACGTTTGTCTCCACTACTACCGTGAGCAACCGTACAGCTACACCAAAAATGATTTCAAACCATCTCTGCTGCGCTCACCTCCCAGAGGTAGCAGCGCCACCGAGCGGGCCCCAGGACCTGTACACGCCTGTTACGTCACAGGTCCTACCCACAAGCCTGGGCCCCGCCCCCACACCGCTGACCCGGAGCTAGAAGAGCGGCGCGGCGCTGTAGTCTAGCGTCACTTCCGCCACCGCAATGGCGGCGCAGGGGGCAGCTGCGGCAGTTGCCGCAGCGACTTCGGGGGTCGTGGGAGAGGGCGAGCCCGGCCCTGGGGAAAATGCGGCGGTCGAGGGAGCCGCCCCATCCCCGGGCCGCGTCTCCCCGCCGACGCCAGCACGCGGCGAGCCTGAAGTTACGGTGGAGATCGGAGAAACGTACCTGTGCCGGCGGCCGGACAGCACCTGGCGTGAGGGCGGGGCCCAGTGCCTAGGGGCGGGGCTGCGGGGTGGGCCCTGGGAACTGGTCCTCTGGAGGGCCGAGTGCGCGGGGGTTGGGAGTCGTGGGGCGGGGCGGAGCCGGGAGGAAAGGCGGTGTCGCGGGGCGTGAGAAGCCAGCCCTGTAATGGAAGGCTGTCACTTTGACCCTATGACGGGCACCACCTAAAAGCCACCAGCAAGGCGATCATCTAAGTTTTGGTGCACTGCTCTCCCATTGCACTTCTTTGCCTGGGTTAGACTTCATTACCTTTTTTTGCTAACCCTACTTAGGTAGCCGCCTCACAAAGGCTATTGCTAGACCAGAAAGTGCGGTGTATTCTCTATACCTTTAGCCATTGTGCCCTTGGCTTGGAGTGTCTTGTATAGCTCCTCCTGATCCTTTTAACCTCATCCTTTATAATGCCATTCTTGACCCGCTTCAGGCCGAGTGAGTTGTTCCCTTCTGTATGTTTCTGCAACATTTGTTTCGTACCTCGGCCGTGGTACATGTAGCAGTATGTCGTAATTTTCTGTGTCCTCCTCTGGGAGCTTCTGGAGAACAAGATCTCTGTGATTCACGACTATGTCCTCAGTGTCCAGCAGCAAAGCACAGCGGCAGCCAGGCAGTGGTTGCCTTACTCGTGCATCCGATGGTCTGCTAGTTGTTTCACACTGGAGTGAAAATTTTGGAGACATTAACTCAGCCTCGAGGTGGGAATTATTACGCTGGTGAAGAAACGGAGGCTCAGGAAGTCAAAATAACTTGCTCAGTTACATAGAACTAGGGAATGGGGAGTGAGAAATACATAAACTCAGGCTGTTCCAGCGTCAGCCCTCACATCCTCCAAATAAATGACTTGAGTGTGTAGTGAGGTGAGTATGAATTTGGAGTCGGACTTTAAAAATTCAGTTAAGTATCCATTCCTCTCACTTTTCAAATCTGCGACTCCGGATTAAGTTTCACGTTTTTTCTCATTGGTCCAATAAGAGTAACAGCCCCACCTTGGCCCATCTCACAAGGTTGTGGCAGTGCTGGATGTGGGCAGATGAATCTGGAAACTGCTGGAAATCTGGACACTTCCTCAGTACATCGGCTTCCTGTTACTCTGTTTCCTTCCTGATGATCCTAGTCTTTTTCCTTCGCAGATTCTGCGGAAGTGATCCAGTCTCGCGTGAATGACCAGGAGGGCCGAGAGGAGTTCTATGTACACTATGTAGGCTGTGAGTGCCCTGGGGCCTTGAGCCTGGGGGAGGGGGGGAGGCAGGGCCGTACCTTCATGGCCCATCTTAACAGTTAACAGGCGACTGGACGAATGGGTAGACAAGAACCGGCTGGCACTGACCAAGACAGTGAAAGACGCGGTGCAGAAGAACTCAGAAAAGTACCTGAGTGAGCTGGCTGAGCAGCCTGAGCGCAAGATCACTCGCAACCAAAAGCGCAAGCACGATGAGATCAACCATGTCCAGAAGGTCCGGGACCCTCCCCTTCCCCAGGGCCCAGGTGGTCCAGCTGCCTCTGCCAGCCTTAGGCCGTTGGGCCTGGTGCTGAAATCACAGCAGCCCCTGTTTTTTAAGTTCTGGGGACTTTAGTGTACCGGGGACTTTACCAGTCCTTCCTGTACTCTTCATAGGTCAGAAAACAGGCTCAAAGAGGGAAAAGTGTTGCTACAATCTCACAGTAAGGGGACGGCACAGCAGGGACTGGAACTCCTGCTCAGATAACCTCTTCTGATTCCTAATGGCTGTGTCATATTAGACAAAATGACTTCAAGTCCAAAGAGAAGAAAGAGGACTGGGGATTTAGCTTAGTGGCACAGCGCCTGGCAAGCGTAAGGTCCTGAATTTGATTTCCGGTACTCCCCCAAAAAAGAACAAAGAAGCCAGGTATGGTGGCACACGCCTGTAATCCCAGCGCTTAGGAGGCTGAGGCAAGAAGATCATTTCCAGTTCAAAACCAGCCTGGGCTACAAAGTGAGCTCAAGGTCAGCCTGAGCTATGTAGCGAGACCCTGTCTCAAAAAAAAAGAACAAAGAGAAGAAAGAGAATGAGTTATACTATATACCTGGCTATTACCAAATACCATACTGTACATGTATCAGCTCATCAAACCTTCCCTAACAATTCACTACCATAAGGAAAATTACTTTTTTGTGGATGAGGAAGCAGGCTCAGAGAGGTTGAGTAATATGCCCATGATCACACAGCTAGTAAAAAAGTGGGCTGGAATTAGAATAATTATCCCAAACATTATTGGTCTGTGAGCCAAAGTATTAGGCCAAATATTTAGTGCATGATCTCACTAATGTTTCACACCAACCCTGTGATGTAAACACTGTTATCAACAGTTTATAGAGGAGACAGATAGGTTTAGGAATCCAGTGAGTATTAGATCTGCCAACTACACTGTCCTCCTTCTGAGTCTGAGGGCTTAACTATGGTTGTGGTGTTTTTGTGTTTTGTTTGACAGTAGCCCAGGTTGGCCTTAAACTGGTGGCAGTCTTCCTGCTTCAGCCTCCTGAGTGCTGGGATTACAGATGTGTGCCACCACACCCAGTCTAACCATGATTTTGACACGTCCCAGAAACATCCTGAAACCCAAATTCTTGCTGGGTGTGGTAGATATGACTGTAATCCCAGCACTCAGAAGGCTGAGGCAGGATTGCTGTTTTTGAGGCCAGCCTGAACTATATGGGAGACCTTGTCTCACAAATACCAAAAATAAATGCATGAAAAGAGCTGGGGTTGTACTTTATTGTGAAAGCCCTGGGTTCAGTCCCCAGTATGCAGAAAACAAACAGTAAAAACAACCCAGGCTCTTTGTTGTTGTTTTTTAGATTGTAATATGAAGATGCAGTACCTAAAATTTGCAGTACATAGGATTACGTTCACTGCGGGACACTGGTCCATGTACACAGTGCGTCTTAACTGCTTTGTTCTTTTTACCAAGTTCGATTGTCCCTGGAGGGTTCCTTCCTTCCACTCTGAGCCTCAGTTTCTTTATTTATAAAGTGAGGAGCACGAACTAAGACAGGATTTAGCGAGCTCTGAAGGCACTGAGCAGTCATTATTTCCAGAGGGTACGGTTCCACCTTTCTGAGCGCACACCGTGTGCTTTACTGTGATATTTTCCAGCTGTGGGACACAGCCTATTAGGTTGCAAAATTGAGCCAGTCAGTGTGGCCAACATTTAAATTTTAAAAATATATAAAGGCAACAGGTTAAGAGAAAATATCAGAGTACATCGCACTTTACTAAGGGTAAGTATTGTGCTGAGAAACTTTTATTTCACATGCAAACGTGGATGTGTACACAAGAACACGTAAATGGGTTTGTAGTGCCAACTACACTTTGTATTGTGGATACGATTTAAAAAGAAAAACAACGTAATATACACTAAATTAGATCCCTCCAGGTCTAAGGTAGAACTGTTCAACTGAAGCCCCTGT